CATTTGACGACCCCGAGGATAGCTCTGGCGGTCAGACTGTGCAGGAGGCGGCATAGTTCCACTCTCCTGGCGAGCGTTTCCAGATGGGCGAGCAGCGGGCTTCGAGTCAGCGCTTGCTGGGGACTTGGTTACAACCTTCTCCTCAGCGTGCTGCTGAGCTCTTTGGATGATCTCTTCCTGCTTGTGCGGGTCTTTAGCTAGGATGGGTACCAAATCCTTGGGCACTGGCGTTGCCAGTTTGAAGTTCTTGGAAAACTTCATGAGTTCGTTCAACTTGATGGTTCGATCATAGGAAGCCTGGTTACGACGGCGTTCTTGCAACTTCGCCTTTTCACTGTGGGCGAATTGTCGGAAAGAGTCGAGCACCTCGGCCTCCACATTCGAAGTAGCATTTGCGGGAGCCGGGGCACCAGATGTGGTCTTGGACAAGGCAGGCTTTTGTTCCGTATCGGCAGCAGAGCTTGCTGTTATACTGGACGGTGCAGGCTGAGCCTGGGCCTGCCCATTCTCCTTGGGCGGTCCGGCGGCAACAGCCTCTTTCGGGGCACTAGGAACCTGTTTGAGAGAGCTTGCGGGAGCTCCCGAGGCCATGGCAGATTGAGCGGCGTTTTGCCTGCGCGCTGGCGGAGTGTACTTATTTGGCTGGCCCGAAACAAGCGGCGGGAAGTTCCTCTCATCACGGCGGACACCGCTGTATTTAGCTTCCTCATCATGATCATCTGCCGATACCTGCCCTCTTTCCTCACGAACATGTGCATTGTCTGTAGTAGCGCCTTCGATTTCGCGAGCAATTCGAGCAGCATCTGCTTCCTTCTGCTTATAGGTAGGGTCCGACCGATCGATTCTAGTGGTGTAGATGTTCTCATCGTAACTGCTGGTAGCACCGAAGAGCCTGGCGTTTGCTTCGAACTGGTCCCATCCAGTTGAATTGTGCGCGCTTTCGAGTGAGAGGTCAACGTCCGTATCGGCGGCAGGTTCCCAGCGCTTGAGGGTCCGCTCGCGAATCGCAAGATTTCCGGAGATGTCAGTATCCGTTTTGAAACCAACAGGAGTCCCTGATACTTCGTTAGGATTTCAAAGTGGCCATCAATGTTATCAAGCTAGCCCGGTGACTTACCGTTCGCGCTCTTTGCTGTAACATCGGCCGGGGTGACGTTCGGGACCGAAATATCGACCACATCCTTAACATCGAAGGACATGCTATGATCCGGCGCCGACCCCATATACGGGCTTGAGACATCACTAACCCCATTCGCTTTGTTCTGATCCGCCTTGGTGGGCCGTTGCACCATCTTGAGTACAAATGAACAGTCGCTAGGTTCCAACGTCGAGGACGAAAAAATTCCCGTGTATTTATCCCCATTTCTTGTGGTAATCGTAGCATTCAAACCCTGAAAACCGTAAGCCTTTTACGTCGATACATGCCGGGTGTGGAACACTGAGCTTACAATGAAGCTAGCAAACAAGAAAACAAGACGGTCATTTGCGTGGTTATCGGGGGTGTTTGACTCTTTCGGAGTCGGTCGAGGAGAGGCGGACTGTTTGTGAGACATGTTGCCGTTCTGCTGTGAGTACGAGGCCCGCTGTGTGATCGGGTTTGCGCCGTGAGACCAAGCTTTGGTGGAGTTACTGCGTCTATCATCAAAAAAAAAAAAAGATGGATTAGCCAATGCGCAATACAATGTCGTGGCTATCAGCAAAGAGTATGAGATGACGGTAGTGCCCTTTCATTAGGCACGAGTCTGGTGGTAGAACAAGAGCACGGGGTGAGAAAAATGAGAAAGCGAGGATACAATGACGCCAAACAGTCGTCAAGAAGAACCGACAGCCACGGAGGGCATTGACAGGAAACGACCCGTCCTGAACAAGGTTTAGAGGGAGGGGGGATGGTAACAGAGCAAACGACCGTCTTTTCGTGAGGCGACAAGCGGTGAGGAAAGGGCAATGGAAGCAAACGAGTTGAAAGGAGCTGGGAGGAATGAGGGATAACATGTTGACCTCACAACGTACCTCTGCCCGCTCTCGAGAGGACTACCGGATTGACGCCGGCCGCCCTCCGAAGCCTTCGTACTAGCACTGGATCTCAAAGAAGGTCTAGTACCGGGGTTCTGAGGATTCACGGCATTGCCAGACGCACTGTTGGCAGCCGGCACCGAGTTGACGGTAGAAGCCATCTGGCTGGATCGTCACCGAACGTAGCTCTACGTCGTCGCACGACGCAAAGCCGTAAGAAGTGCGGACGGAAGGCACGAAGCCAAAACACACCGCCTGCGCAAACAGGACCGAAGAAACGGTGGATGAAGTGGGAGGAAGGGATTTGGGGGGGAAAGGAAGAAAGAATGGCGGGGTGGAAGGGGAAAAAGGGAAGCTTGTGGTAGGAGAGCGAGAGCCCCGAACGAGTCACGGGACCGCCTTCTGGTGTTGAACGTCAACGGGAAGGGAGGAAAAGAGAGAGACAGAGAGACAGAGAGAGACGGGGAAAGGGGAGGAAGGAGGGGAGACGCGGATCCGGGAGGAAAGACGGGAAGTGGAGAAGGAGGAGAAGGAGAAGGAGAAGAATAAGAAGAAGAAGAATGAGACAAGAAGAGAACACCAGCAAGTAGTAAGTAGTAGTTGGTAATTGTAGGTAGGACGTCCCGGTCAAGTCAGGTTGCCGGCCGCAGGTAGTAAGTAGTAGGGAAGAAGAAGAAAGTAAACTACTACACAGGAAGAAAGAAGTTCAATGTTCAGATGGTACTGGTAGATCGATAGGTGGGTGAGCAGCAGCCACAAAAAGAGGAGACAAGCCAAAGACAAGCCAGCCAGACAGCTAACATCATCCACAGGTCAAAGGTCAAGTAAGGTTAGTTTTCTGTACGTACAGCAAAGGTTCTGGCTGGAGGGTTTAGCTTGTCAGAGGGGAATTTAGGTGGGCAAATCCCATGGAAATCCCAAGGGTCTTCCGGCCTTGGGTTGGTTGGCGGTTGGCAAGCGAGTGGGGAACGAAAGATGGCCATGAGTGGGAATGTGCACTTGCTTTTTTATCTACTCCGTATGTTCTTTCTTCTTTAGTTCTTTTCCTCCCTCGTTTCACTTCCACATCCACATCCACTTCCACCTCCATCTTTGACTTTTTTTTTTGCTGTGCTAGCTGATAAGCACTTCCTTCCCAAGTCTGGTGGAATTCTAACTACTACATCTCAAGTAGTAAGTATAATTATTTTGGAGGGCTTGTGACGGCCTTTCGTAATGCCTAGTTCCAAATAAAGAAGAAGAAGAAGAAGAAAAAAAATAATGATTACATTAATTGGCCATCATCTTTCTCTGCTCCATCAAGAATGGGATTGCAAGTTGTGCGTGCGTGCGTGTAGGTGTGTGTGTTCCCACCTCGCTACTACTGAGACGCACCATGTCGCCTCACTCCACTTGCTTCTGCTTCCATCAGTTGAGGTTGCCAATTTCAATGGACTCCTGCCCTTGCGGCCTGTCAGAATCCACTCGGAGTAGGCCCACCCATTGCGCTGCATGGTGAATCCATATGAGTTCCGTCCGTATCTCTGATCCTAGGTCTGGAATGATCCCTTGCTGCATGGAAGCTCACTTCCACAGCCCATGTTCCCTCAGACCTTTTTGGTCCTTGTCTTTGCTGTCACCGCGTCTGAATAGTCCATTCGGTACTTCTGCTATCCGAGTGCGATCGGTAAGTGCAACGGAGCTCAGGTTCGCTCGAGCAAGGGCGGCTCTCCTGCCAACACACCTAGCAATCACCAAAATTGGGCATTCGCGAGGTGGAGAGACCATTCCACCCCCGACTAACCCGGCTAGGCATCCGATCTATAGAGTCCTCCACCAGAGATACTTTTCCAGGCGCGCTTTCCTTAAAGTCGAGAAGCAGCGCCGTGCCAATTCTATCTACCTAGACATCTGTGCTGGATTACTGCAGCTGTCAGCATGATCATAAATTAGACCTTCGGGGCCAAGGAGATAGATGGCTAGCTTGATGATCGACCAAAACCATACTTGCATCATGCTTGCTGGGTGGTTTGTTTGGGGAACACTGGGCAAAGCAAATCAGCGAACCGACTTGCGCTAAGATCCTGCCTGATGGACAATCTCATTGACGCTTCAGCGCACTACCCACTTGATGCTATAGATATCACATTACTAAGAGACTAAGCGAACACAGTAAGAACTAAGGCAAGCGCCGGGGCAATTGACCGGGCCATGCTAAGCATTATTAGGCTAGTTCATTATATTGAGCGCCTGCCCAGGCGTCCAGCGACTCATGACTTGTGCGCACAACGATGGATCAGGCCTGCTTACAAAGTATCATATTGTTGCTGGCGTTGAACCAGACATGATCAATGAACGGAAATCATCGTTACGTAAGAGTGGCTCTGTCCATAGCCAAGGGAGACTTCATAGGAATCCCTTTCGTTCCAACTTGAGACAAGACAATCAATCGAGAGGCATTGCCATCACTAGTACAGTATGGACCAAAGTGCGCGAGGCCTCGTTAGGACTACTGTGTACAGAACCTTACGCAGTGTCACACAGGAAAGGATTTCCGGAAGTTTGATAGGAAGGGACCCTCCGGCGTTGAAACTCTAAGCCCAAGTTGGTTCTGCAGTCTGACATGGACGGCCAAGGGATCGGTGTCATCATGGGGAGGTATCCACACCAAGGGATGAGAAGGTTGAGCCGGCTGAAGAAACTCTCGTCTGAGGTGTATCAACAGTTGGGAGACGATTAAGCACTATTCAAATGCGTACTTGCATTCACCGCTGGAGGGTTTAAGCCCGAGATCTCTCTCTCTCTCTCTCTCTGTTAGTGGATTTACAGGGGAACTTGAAGGATGATACTTTGTTTGTAAGAGAGTACTAGTGTTGAACTGAGGCGCGGCTGAGGTGGATCCGGCGAAACCAAAAATCCCGGAGGCTGGTGCCAACATGTGACTTGGCGGGCGTTTGTCTTGTCTATGCCTCAGGCTGACACAAGTCTCGGAAGGCAGCGACGTTGAATCGCAAGTCAGTCAGTCTTGCGCTGCTGGGCATTTCATTGCTCTGCTGGCCGGGAGACTAAACTTGTGCCCAAATTGGTCTTCTATCAGATCCCTTAGACTGCTTTAGTGCCAGTCCAACAGCATCACCACCACCCAAAACTACTACTACCACCACCCCCCCCCTCGAAGAGGCTGGTTCCTTGGCTATAATTCCCGCTTGTCTCTCGCTACCTTTCTCGTGCGGACCTTTTTTTCTTATCATTATTACCTTCCTGCTTTCTTTGTTGCGTATTCTTCTACGCCGCCTCCTTCTTTCTCCTGTTTGATCTCCCTCGTTTCTCCTCATCGTTTGTGGCTATTTCGATCCATCCCGCCGTCACTGCTCCCTCCCTCTCTCTTTCTCCCTTACACATACCTCTGAGACAATATTCAATCCCCAGCCCTTTTCGCGACCTTGCACACTGCATCCTCTTGTCGCTCCTAATATACTCGTGTCACAACTTATCAACTGCCACCGAAAAGAATAATTGTCCCGGATTCCCGCCTTGCACATATGCAGTCCGCCTCCAGCGTTTCCTCCCGCTCCCAGCGAAGTCCGTCAGCCCAGCATTTCCCATCCGGTTCAGGGAGCAGTGTGGAATCCGCTATGACCTCCGCACCACGCAGTTCGTCGAGCTCGACGAGGTCTCAATCCTCAAAGAGCGTGGTAGTAAGTGCTCCCCTCCATCGTGGTGGCATGCAGCCACTGCTTGGGTTTCCTCCAAATCACCCCCCCCCCCCCCCCCCCCCCCCCCCCCCCCAGCCAGCCGTCCCACAAATACTCCGGCTGACCTCGTGGTGCGTCTGATCCACAGCCCGAGAAACAGATCAACCAAATCGAAAAGAGCGTCACCCATCTGCTGGTCGCCACGAAACAACTGCTAGAGACACTGACACAGTGGTCCCGCCGACAAGCCTCAGAGAATGAAGTGTCAGACGTCTACGTACGGCTGGGCTATGAGTTCAACCTGGCTTGTCGCGCCTTCAATGCCATCGGAGTTGACACCTCAGATCTTGGCCCCGTACCCGACCTCCTGCGTACGATCCTCGAAGATACTCTTAGCCAAGATGCATCCCCACAGAGTCTCGAGCGCTACCTCCCTCGAGTTCGCGACATCATCATCAACCTTCTACATGGTCTCAAGAAAAAGCAGGCTCGACTACGTGCACGGCAACAGAAAGAGGAAAGTAGGCCATTGCCTGGTCGGCATACAAGTGCTAGTAGTGCAACTTCAGCACAGGCGGCGTTGAATCAAGCATATGAGGACACTGCCTCCACGGTAACGTCTCCGAAGCGATCGACTCGGCGATTTGGCAGTAATGGCTCTATGGAGGATCCTTCCATGGCCCGGGCGTCTTCGGCGGCATCGGCTGATGTGCGAGGAGCGAGCTATTCCGAACGAGATGCGTCGAGGCGCGAGGCACAAAACATTCTATCGCAAGGATCTCAACCAGAATCTGGCGCAACTCCCAAGGGCTCCGTGACTTCGACAAACGCGCCACCTTATCCCACACCGCCTCCTCCGCCCGCCCCGAAACAAGATGATGCTCTCGGTGCTCTGCAGAGAAGCGGGGAGCTGGAACGTCGGGCCTCGCGAAGGTTTTCGGCCTATCAGATACAAAAGCATCTGGGAACTTCTTCAAGCGGTGTTCCAGTCCTCCCTACCCAAAATTCCCCGATCCCGAATCGAGGGCGTGATGTTCGTGAGTCGCTGAACGCTGTGCGCCTACGCGGGTCAGTCCATGGACGACAGCGATCGACAAATCGACTACATGACGCAAAGGTCGCTTCACAGGCGCCTGCGAGCGTTCCCAGTATCGAAGAAGAGCGCCCAAAATCTCGCGTTGGATCACCTGCAGAACTTCCAGCGGAAAGCGCTACTGCCGCCAAAGACAAGTCTGTTGAACGCCCTGGAAGTGGACCGGCAGATCACCCGGCTATTGGACGGCAGCCCGACCTCCCACGACCTTCTGAAGAGCCGTCCCTCGCGGAGGCATTTGAACCCGTCAAGGATGCTGCCCCTACCGCGGCTGCCCGCCCAGGAACGCCTAAATCTGAACGTCAGGAGCCAGCTGTGTCTGCTTCTACTCCACCTCAATCAGTCCAATACTCCCCTGAGCAGCAGTCCCCGGGCAAGGAGCTCACTCTATTCCTCCAATACAGAAGCAAGATCAAGAAATACGTTCTCCCTGAAGGATATACTGGCCTTACTATCGGGAGACTGCAGCTAGCTTTTATTGAGAAGTTCGCTTGGAACACCCACAATAACGGGGTTGATTTGCCGGAGATCTATATTCAGGACCCGGTATCAGGGGTCCGGCACGAGCTGGAGGATCTGGCTGATGTCAAGGACCGATCTGTGTTGGTGTTAAATGTCGATATCCTGGATGAGGTCAAGAAGCATTTTGACGATGAATTCGGTGGGGTCCGTCGCATGATCGAAGGTGTCAAAGGGGCTCTCGAGGGCCAAGAAAGCATGATGCAACGTGTGTCGGACCGTCAACTGGAAGCTGCGAAAGAAATGGCTCGCCTTGCTGCTGCGCCTCCTGTGCCTGTCGCAGCTACCGCCAAGACTGGTGAAGCTCGGAAGGGTCCTATTGCGGGGAGCGACAGTCAAATCGCAGAGCTCCAGAGTTTAAGACGTGACCTTGCTGTACTACGTCAGACGTACTCGAACTTCACCGCCGATATTGCAAGCTCAATGAGCGCGATCCGTACCAAAGCAGGTGGACTGAAGACGGCCGCAGCTGACGTCACCGTACCATCGTTCGAAGGCGATGCAGGCCGCGTGCGTGTGAATTCTGGGAAGAAGGAGCTCGCCGAAGAATCAGAACGTCTTGTGGCGCGGGTTGACGACCTCCAAGATTTGGTTGAGGATCTCCGCAAGGATGTCGTGACTCGTGGTGTCCGACCGCTCCCCAGGCAACTGGAGTCGGTGAGTAAGGACATCAGCGCCGTCACTAAGGAGATCAAGAAGATGCAGGATTTCCTCAAGCGGGAGAAACCCGTCTGGACAAAGATATGGGAGAAGGAGCTCCAGCAAGTCTGTGAGGAGCGTGACCAGCTTACCATGCAAGAGGACCTCGCAGCTGATCTCCAGGATGATCTGGAGAAGGCAGCTCAGACTTTTGCACTTGTTGAGCAGGCCACAAAGCAGCAGGCGATGCAGAACAATACGGGTGGTCCGACGCTGCGCAACACCTCGCGGAACGTTGTGATTGATCCGGCTGTGGATCCCATGAAGGCCAAAGACAGCGTTTTGGGTGAGGTGCGCGCCTTGCAGCCGAACCATGAATCTCGCTTGGAAGCGATTGAGCGGGCAGAGAAGGCACGCCAGAAGGAGCTGGAGACTCGCCGTATCGGGCTTTTCCAGAAAGAGCTCGGAGCGTTTGTTGAGGAAGGCAAGTTGAAGAAGAGTGGTGGTGTGGAGGAGGCCGAAAGACTCCGTCGGGCCAAAGATGACCGCATTCGCAAGGAAGTCTGGGAGAGACAACAGGCCAGGGCGGCCGAAATGGAAAAGGCAGAAGCAGAAGCCGCTGCAGCGCAAGCGGAGCAGGCTGAGGAGCCGGCCGAAGACGCAGAGGCCGCAGAGGCGGAGCCTGATGCAGACGTGGCCGAAGAGGCAAATGCTGAGAAGGAGGAATCTGGAAAGGAAGAGGAGGTAACTATGGTCAAAGGAAAGTCTCCGGTTCCGGAAGACTTGGATGAAGCAGAAGAAGAGAAAAGGGAAACGTTCCTTGATGCTGAGGAGAACGAGGAAACTGACAGAGAAGCAACCACTGCGCATGAGCAGAAGCCGGACCATGAGCAATAGGGATACGGCTCTGTTGACCGTTCCGCGGCCAACATTCTCAGTGCGATACTCGTCCTCTCCATCATCTACATCTTGTATCTAGCCTGAGTTGTCGGGCTGCCCTCTTTTGGACCTTTCTCCTTTGTCATTATCACCATTGCGTCCACCCTCGTTAATTATTTCCTTGAACTGTCTGTTTCCCTGTGTTTGCTATATTTCTTGTCGCGTTCGCTCAGTTCCAATCGCAAGAACTGGAGCTGCAGCCTTGCCTGTTCGCATATCGACGATACCCTGCCAGCTTGTGGCCTGTTATGACTATTGATGATATACAGGAGGGTCAGGTTATCTTGGTCTATCCTGCTTTGCTGCTGTTTCAGACGAGGTTGATTGATAGAAGCGTTCCATTTTTTTGCATTAATATAATCTTAGAAATTTTAATGTACCAAGCTTCAAGAGCGTCGCATTCCTACACCATGTCCTAGGACGAGCTTTAGACCAACGATTATTCTCGCCTTCTTCCCCCCCCCCCCCCGAATAGACCCGAAGCTGTAGATTCACGACAAATAAGTAGCCTTAGTATTATGATTGTTGTTGCAGTGTTTCCCAGCAATAAGAACCAACTTAACATTTATATCTTCAACCCCAGGCAACATTGCCATTAAGTTATTATACACACAGCACTTGCTTTCCCATCAAACTACCACCTTCGCTAACCCGTAGACCAAAAAGCTTAGTACTACTGGATGAGTGATCTCCATATCCTGAACAATCAATAACCTCCAACGGCTACAACAAACACAGTGACACTTCCCCTCTTAGTATCCCATTCATCACTGAGAACACCCCCACCATATCTATATAGATTTGAGATACTAAACATAAGTAGGAACTTAACTTCCTCATCGCCATACGCTATCGTGATGGTAGTAAGAGCTGGTTATCACCTGCGCCATTCCATTTTATTTCATGAGACAGTATGTTCTGTGTGTTATATGGGTGAATAGTTGAAGCTGATACTAATTACCGTGAACTCGGTGGTTCACTACATTATATAATGAAAATCAGCAGTACCCTAGCAAACGCAGCATTTTCATCACACCTGCGTTTGACCCGTGATCACTAGATTTGGATTCTCTCGTCCCCTTGGATTCCTCTGTCCCCGTGTCTTCCTCTGCCCCCGTGCCTTCCTCTTCGGGGCCATACTCTTCGTAATCAAGCCCGGAGCACCGACCGCAAGACGAAACGGTGGCTCTAGCCCTTCCTTCCTTGCCCTCTCATCTCTCTCCTCACTTCCTGCATCGTTATGAGCATCGACAGACACCGTAGAAGAATATGGCGGGAGCTCAGCCAACTCAATCCCCGAGGAAGTACTCGGACCCCCCTCTGCCCTCCGAACCAACGGCGAGCTATCCTTGATACTACTATACTCTCCATCTCCTCCTCCTCCTCCCTGCACCATCCCACTACCATCAAGTACAACGCCCACAAGCCCATCAAATCGACCAAGGTCCTCCAAATCCCGCTTGTCCGTATCCCTAATGCCCGCAAAGCGCACATGCTTCTCACGCTGCACTTCCGCACCCATGCGAAGCATCGCAAAAGCATCAAGACTATCCGTCCAGGTCGGGACGGAGTGGCAGTAGACCACAATCAGACAGAGACCCAGTATCTGCAAGCCAATAAGAACCGATATGACTATCACCCCGGCTAAGCTCCACTTAGGCTTGACCAGCACCGTTCCACTATCAAAGTAGATGCTTCGCGAGTTATACGACCAGCCTTGTGTTGCTGTGCTGGTTAGCACGGCTTCATTGGCGAAGTAAGTCGCCATATCTAGTGCTGTAGCGGCTGATTGTGTATCGTTGAACGAGGCAACCCAGATGTAGATTGTGTTCATGAGATATTGGTACCAGTAGTCGTCGCTGGAGCGGTCTATATCCCATAGGAGATCCTCGCAGGTGTCTCCGGCGGTGCTGAAGCTGGTGAGGGAGAGACGGGTGAATGGTAAGGCGTTGAATTGGCAGATGGAGAATAGTGCGGATCTGGTGGTGTTGGTGGTGATGGCGTAACTGGCGGCGTTGAGGAAGCTTTGGTTGCCGAATAGAGCCAACGCACTGGTCATTAGTGGGCCGGCTGCGTAGAGGTCTTCGTAGTTGAAGGGATCGGGTAGGTTGGAGGGGCTAAGGGTTGTTGTGTCGTTGTCACTGGTATGTAGTATTGTCGGTTAGTAGTCTATTCCTCCAGTGATTAATTTGGGAGGGTGTTTGAAGGGGGTATCTTACACAACTGATGGAATGGCATAACCATCGTCTACTCCCAGATAGTCATTGAAATCCTGCTTCAGGACCTCCTGACTGGGCCATTTCTCGAGAAGAGGTCCCGGATTGTTGCCATTCTTGTAGTTGCTGATTTCGAAGTACCCCCGAGTGGTGTTTGTAGTACATTTCAAAGTAAAGTTGGATTGTTCGACTGAGGCTGAGAAATCCGTGATTTGCTTAACGACATCAATCCACAGCTCCTCTGAGATATCCTGGCGGTCCCGACTCCGAGTCCAAGGCGTTTGACCGAACGTGCCGGGCGCGCAGATTCGAATATCGAGTGTATCAGGGGCAGTCAGGTTAGTCACGAAAGGACGGTCACCCGAGCACGTCTGCGGGAAGTCGGATGAATGCACCGCTTCGCAGGCGGACGTTGAGTTCAAACGGATGGCATGTTGGCGCAGAACACCGGTATTGGTCCCATTTTGCAGCGCAGATACGAAATACCGGTCCGAACGGAAAGATTCGTCATACCAGAAGAATGTTCCTCTCTCGATAGCCTCAGCGTCGTCGATTGTTGTCCATTGCTCCGGCCATAGGTAAGGTTGCACGTCGAGCTCGCCTACCAGCTGCGTTTTCTTGGCTACCTGCTGGACAGCAAGACTTTGGGGCATGGACTCTAGAGCGGCAGGTTCCGGGTCAAGGCCCACTATTGTGGCGATGTTCGATGGGTCGCATGTCCAGACTGGCATCTCCCAGCATGTGGCGATGGTAATATCCTCATATTTGATCAAGATGGACTGAATAGCAGGGGTGACTGCTACGAGCAGAACGAACAGCCCTCCAAAAATGGTAAATGGGGATCCATGGCCATCCAGTGGTAGACTGCGAAACCATGACCTCACGTTGGCCCAGGGGCGATCCGCTAGAGCAACAAGTTGTCGGAGGGACAGCTTCTGATTAGGCGAACGTCGCTGCGTGTAGACAACGGCCGCCTGGGCAAGGAACCCGGAGACGATGGGAATGGCGAGGACGGCTTGTAGCTTTTCAAGCACGAGGATAAATTCAAAGCTGACGAGAATATCCAGAACCACGGCTGCCGACTGACCAAGGCCCTGGCGAGTATAGGAGGCGGCGTCTAGAGGACGCACCATCATGGCACAGGTCATGATCCAGGGAGCGAGTAGAATAGCAACATAGAAAGAAAGAAGATACAGTGACTTCCTCGTCCGATACCGCAGAGGCTCCAGTATCGGACTTGGCTCATTTGAGTTCCTTTGGGCATTCACAGCCACTTGAGGGGGGCTGTTCATGGTAGCCATCATGTATAGCCCGCAGGCGAAGTGAGTAAAGTTCTGGCATGTTCGCAAAGACGGGCTTGCTCAGGGGTCATTTATATCCAATTTCCCACTCAGGACTTCATCTCCTGGTGGCCGCAGCAAAATCAGCTATTGGGTCTCACGGAGGGTCTACCTGCAAGGCTGACAGACCATGAACGCTCGTGAACTGAGCTATAAATGCAATCTAAGACCAAAGAAGCCAAGCTCATGGTGCCCCAAAACCCTAGCGTTTAGGCGAGTGTGGTTGGATGGTTCCGAGTGGATAAAGGTCGGCAAACTCGGCCGTGAGGCTTGTTTTCATCTTAGTCTGTCTCGCTATGGCCTCTCACAGCACCGCTTCGTTCCGACAGACCCGCAAACTAAGGGTGCTCGTGAGGCTAGTGTTGTAACCCTACAAATTAGCAAACCCCTGCATGTTACGCTATAAACGCTTTGTTCGTCGTATCATGTCACGAGACATAGGGGAAGGAAGTCAGAGTTCAGGATATTAATCCCGGCTATGCGGTTATAGCCTATCACATGTAGTAAGCATTCGCTATCTTTAGTATATTTTTATATATAGTCTCAACGGCTCTTCCAATCATACCACTTGATCTTTCTGTGCCCTCACAGACCCCTCGTGCGAGAGGCGCTAACCAATCAGCCAATGATAACTTCCTTGCTACTAGATTACCTTGTCTCGTAACTTCTCCCTCACCCTTCTGATGTCGCAGCCGAATTACCCCATCATCAATCTAAACCTTCCATGAAAGCTCGAGGAATTCCCGCAAGGTCATAGTCTTGATATCCGGGAAAGTCTCATTGAGAGTGCTGACAGGTCTGAGGTCAAGCTCGTTTCCGATAATCCATAACCCAGTCTGAGCAAATAGTTGCTTGGTCATTTTCTTGCCCACTACAGCAAAGGTGGCCTCGTAGCAAGGTAAGTCCGTGACCTGACCTGCTTCTAACTCTTCCTTGGAGTCATGGGTGATTTGAAACTTGGCACCTGGAATAGCCCCATTAGATAAGTTACAGTAGATACCTCATACAGAAAGATGCACGTACCCCTCGCCTCTTCGGCCATATTAACAAAGTCATGAAGTATAACCCTGTCACCAATGATATAGCTTTCCTTGGGCCAGACCGCAAGATCTAAGATGCGGACAACAAATCTCGCAATGTCCAGAACCCGGGTGAGCACGACGGCTTGGTCTCCGGATCCGGGCTTGGCTGCCTTGTTGTTGGCAATATCAACAAACATCGGAAAAGAACCGACGTTGGATTTGAGAAGAGGAGACCCGTAGAAATCCATGAACATGCCGTTGTAGACAGCAGTGTGCATTAGAGATGTCTTCGCCAGTTCCTCTAGCGCCTCTGTTTTGGATTTGGCGACCTCGGGATACCTAAAGCACAAGGGTCAATACGTGATAGGCTTTTCTCCAACCGCCCGAGTACTTGGGGGACTATCGCTACTAACTTGGTGGGATATGCGAACCCGGCAAAAATGCTGGGGATAAATCGCTTTGTCGTAAAGGAGTTCTCCGACGCGCGAATGAGGTTCCTTTCTGGTAGAGAGCTTCCATATGCGTTGATGGTACAGATCACGTCGCTGACTTTGTTTTCTTCGAGAGCCTCTGTCAGACTTTGGACGTTGTCATAATCAACAACGACCAAACGAGCTGGTAGCTTCACGTCTAGACCGGGAGTACTCTTCGTAGTGTTAGCAAGGCGATTCGTCTGGTTCAATTGGACATGTTACACTCACCTTTCGACTGAATATGACAACATTGTGCTTGCCATGGACGGCCAATGCTTCTGCAATGGTTAGGCCAAGACCTTGAGTTCCACCGGCGACGGCAACCGTGGTAGCAGTGGCAGTGGTAATAGTCATAGTCGTAAAGTATCAGTTCTCGATATGTGAAAGAAACGAAGTAAGTATATTGACAGTCGATGTTAGAACTATACTATATCATGTCGAGAAGCAAGTGCTATTTAACCACTTGGGGAATGGCCTTGGCATACCCCAATCGTTACAAATTCGAGCCCTGCTTTCTAGCGTCTTGTTAGCACAATGATTTCCTGAAGTGTTGAGGATGGTCGGATCGAGTTGCATCCTGGAAGGATGATGAGACTAAACATACTTCCGAGCGGACCAGCCCTCCTCCGTGATCCGGTCACCATTTCCGCCATCCGGCCACTTGAAGGATCGAAGGATTGAAGGATGATATTTCCTAACCAATGACATGATCATAAGATTTGTACTCTTTCTTATATGACAAAAGAACACGATATTTCATAGCATAGCTTAAGACTGTCTCTAGCTAGATTTGACATACGACAATCTTCATTAATGTTGATGTCATAGTGAAATGGATGAAAGAAAAGAAGAATAGTATCATTTGGTCAATCACACTATGATACTACCCAAGGTGCATGAAAAAGATAGCTTCTATCTGGAAGGAGCAACCTAGGGAGTCAACTGTCAACTCGGCAAAAAGGACCATCATTACTCGCATATGCTTCCGCATCCCTTGAATTCCATGGATATCTTCCTCACTCAGATACACCCCGCGGAGGTGGATTGGTGACCATTGTAAAGAATGTCCCTCCTTACACTTACGCAGCGGGTGACGGAATGTGCCTCTGCGTTGACTATAAGAGCTATTCAAAGGTAGACATGGTCTCACTAGAAGCATTCCATCAGCCCCAATCCCCAAGATGGCCGATGAAAAAATTAGCCAGGCCATCAGCGAAGAGAACCATGAGCCCTCAGCCACAATTCCAGTTGTCATCGTGGACTTCGATCCCCATGAGCATCCGCATCAATGGCCCAGCTATCGGAAATATACCATCCTCCTGACGGTGACTCTGCCCATCTTCCTCATGCCCCTAACATCAACTATCATTGCACCAGCTCTTGATGCCATCGAGGCCGAATTCCATGTTATTTCAGATGTCAAGGGCTCTCTGACAGTATCCCTGTTCCTGCTCACTTACTGTCTGGGCCCATTGGTGCTAGCACCTCTTAGCGAACTGCTCGGCCGCGTTCCCATCCAGCAGTCAGGAAATGTCTTCTTCCTCGCTTTCAATCTGGCCGCGGGTTTCTCAAAAAGCATAACCCAGCTCTTAGTATTCCGCCTGTTGAGCGGACTAGGCGCCAGTGCTTCATTAGCTGTACTTTCCCAAATCTCCCTCCATCAAGCCACACCCCCCATCGCTTTCGCTAACAAAAGCATATCTAGACCGGCGTCAGCACCACCGGTGATATCTTCCCCAAAGAACAGCGCGGGCTAAGTCTCGCTCTTCTTAACATGGGTCCCGTCCTTGGCTCCTGCCTCGGCCCCATAGCAGACTACTCAACCTGGCGATGGGCCTTCCACGCGACCTCAATATTCGCCGGTGTCATAATCCTAACCTCACTATGTCTGTCACGCGAGACCTACGCCCCAGTCCTCCTCCGCCGCAAGAAACAAGCTCTCCAACTCACTCCAGCCTACAAAGACCTCACACTCCCCACCCAATTCGAGCAAGCCACAAACACCACCACACCTTCCACCTCCAAATCCAAACCCTAACAACCCTCTACCACCGCACCCTCGTCCGCTCCCTCCGCCTCCTCCTCACCCAACCCATTGTCCAAGCCCTCCCCCTCTACTACGGCTACATCTACGACCTCGTCTACCTCATCCTCTCGACCTTACCCACCCTATGGAAAACCCAATACCACCTGCCCGCCAGCACCGGCTCCCTGCACTACCTCGCCCCGTGCATCGGCTACCTCCTAGGCGCACAAACCTGCGCCCTAGTCTCAGACAAGATCTACCTGCGTCTCAAAACCTCCAACCACGGCACCGGCAAGCCCGAATTCCGCCTCCCACTCATGATCCCCGCGAGTCTGCTCGTCCCCATCGGCTTCTTCATCTACGGCTGGTCCGCACAGTACAGAACCCACTGGATCGTTCCAGATATCGGTATTGCTCTGCCGCTCATGAGCGCTACGGTCATTTTCCAGTGTACGAGCGCGTACCTCCTCGAAGCGTATAGTGTGTATGGGGCGAGTGCGAACGGTGGAGTTTATATCCTGCGGGGATTGACGGGGTTTGGGTTCCCGCTGTTTAGCCCCGTTATGTATCGCGTGCTGGGATATGGATTGGGGAATAGCCTTTTGGGATTTGTAGCGGTGGTTATTGGGTGTCCTATTCCGTGGGTGTTGTGGTGGTTTGGGGGGAGGTTGAGGAGGAAAAGTAGTTTTGCGGATGAGGTGTGATGATCATGATGATGATACATACGTAGTTATTCATCGCCCCTTGATTCGGGGAGTGGGTATTGTGTACTACATTATCTGCAGGGGGCGGTTGTTGTTGTTGATTAATCATCATGTAAGTTGATCTCATCTTTTAATGGATTCTTTGATATTGTTTTATTCAAATGCATTCATGTCATTAAAATTCCAGGCTTTAGCGGTTCCTGAACTTAAATGTAGGGCTAGAATTGTGCGGTGCTATCTAAACTCAGTACTAACTTCTCACCCCCCTTCCAACGGCCTTGCCTAGTCCAATGAATCAAGCATAGTTACATGATCTGCAATGAATAAAAGCATAATCTGCGACATGACGCGGCGTGGAATGTGCCCTACGTCGATCCTTTTCAGCCTGTATTCAGTGATAGTTTCACCGCCCACAGAATGATCCTAAACTATGACGTAGTGGCCATTGAACAAAGGATAGTATTGATCGTAACTGTCATGATTAGAAAGATAGATACAGCAGAGTCATCTATAATACTTCTATAACTATGCATATGAACCAAAAGCGTTGCGCATAATAACCATCAACTCCTCACTCTTCCATCCGAATAATCTCCTGGATCATGTCATAACGGATCTTCTCATTCACATAGCTGTCTCGCTGGTACTCCTCGTGACCGGTCACGAATGAGCGCATCCACTGGGCTGGCGTCGGAAGCTCTCCACTTGCTCGCTTACTGATCACATCTAGGTAGGGCATGATCTTCTTTTGGTCCATCACGGGCGTGTTACTGTACTGTAGATAAGCGCGCACGATGTTCACCAGTCCAGGGAAGCTGGAGGGCACCTTTGGATCTTCGCCGTTGATGATCTCGTCCGCCGTGAGAAGCGCACATGACGGTGATGCATGTGCAGTAGATTTTGAGCAGCAGTTAACACAACCTCTCCGCTGACGCTGTGGACGCTCGCACTGCTCTGCGGATGACCATCCGGTCCGGCGGAACCAGAAGCGCTCTTCGAGGGCAGCATTGCGCTTCTGCGCCCGTTCCATGGAGTCTCCCAGCTGGTCGATAGGCACATAAAAGTTCAAGTGAAGTTCCGTGATGGCCCGAGATAGAAGGTACATGAAAATGGCGAAAGCAGCGTTGTCGAAATCGGTCAATTGTACTTCCATCGGTCGGAACTCTACCCGCCAGCCGGGTCCATCGTCGGTTAAGGGGATCTTGAGTCGGACATGTTGCCATACAGTGCTGTAGTAGACGTCAAATATGCCCGTACTATTTAGATCAAAATTTTCCAGGTCTGTTCGGTTGAGCACAATTGGGTCCCTCGAGAGGATATTGGCATAGTGCATCGCCAAAGGTTCGTCCATGCCGCCATCTAGTAAGCGTTGTTTGACCGACTCATTCATGGGAGTCAGCGGAGATTTGCTTTCGAGATTGGCTGGCTTCTCTTGCGAGATGTATGTGCGGTTCCAAGAATACCGTGGTGGCTGCATTGCATGAGTTAGTCAAGCCAAGAAACTTTAGGGTGGGCATAATACCGTCGTGGCTAACTCTTCCGGAGTACGATCGTCAAAGCATTCAGAGGTTCGGCCCCAGCGCACTTCCGTATCTACCAGATAACCCTTAAACATCGGCGTAGCAGCAGTAAGTGCTAACATAACCGGCCCCAATGCGATCATTTGGTCATGTAACCATCGCGCTTCAATTTCATTAGGAGCCTGGAACGTAACCTGAATGCAGCAATTCCCGACCCCGAGACCGATCCCATCCAGATGGACATGGCCCTCTTTTCCATTCCCGGGGGGATGCTCTGCGGGGTATTCAAAAGACACAGAAGTGTCATGAAAAGGCGTTTGCGTCTGCTCATCTCGAAATATTGGAATGTAGCTCTCGACACGCCGTTGTCGCCGTGCCAGCAAGTTCTCTGTCATCATTATATAGCGCGGTATGGGACAGCAGATTTGCTCAAGAGACTCTTCATGCGGACTTTCTGGGAGTGTGAACTGTCCCTTTTCACCTAAGCCAGGGAAGACACACAACGGTACAGGGTGTTGGTCGGGCGATAGAAATTGCCCGATCAATTTCCGTCTAAGAACGTCAGCTTTATGTCTACTTGTCGCGAGATTCAACATACCGTCGCTTCATATTGCCTTGAACCCTGAGTAGGTCCATAATATCGCCCCCATATGGCTCTCCCGGAGTTGCTTCAACCATATGTCGAGCCCATTCCGCCTGTAACTTGACTTCATTCCAGGGTTCACTATCATGTCTCAGTATCCTGTCTTTGCCAGTGTTACTAAATACTTACACTTCCTCAGCTTTAGCACATTGTTTTTCTTCTTTTCGTAGGATGTCTTCTTGGTTAAGAAGCAGTGTTGCTCGCGACTTGTTTGCGTCAAGGCTGACCAGGGTATATTCAATCTGTCGAGTCAGCGTCTCCTTCAATATAAGTACAGCAGGTGATGTCTTACCTCGTCACCCCATAGTGGTTCAAGATCGCTTCTACTTTTTTGCCTCTTCCATAGAGATAGCAATTGCTTTTACCGTTAGCGACATGCATTCAGAAGGCATATAGGAAGCACTTACCTCCACGGCCCCTTGACGAGCAATAGGTGCAACTTGCTGAAGCTCTTGCCATGAAAGCGGTGTTCCGCTCACCCTGCTGGGAGGTTAGACACGTACTGTCTCAAGTGCGACAACGGTGGAACATACGGTGGACCCATTTTCAGTAAAGTATGAATGTGATATGAAATGGACTTGTTTGTGTACAAGCGTTTAGATATGATGGTGGGTTATTGAGCATCATTATATAGCTTCTCCAAAATGCAATTAAAGGGAGTCATCTAAGACCTTGGACTATACGCGTCGTCGTCGATCATAGTAGCGCGACAATCCATGGCTTGGCTGACAGCAGTATGCTGCCTCGTACGTAATGCTCGTGGGCAGCTGAAAGAGGTCATGGATGACCAATCATGCATTCTCACATATTACGCTTTTTTTGGGGTCGATAGATGGCGTAATGGCAGGCTGCAACTTCCTCGTTGCTACCCCTTGCATGGTGTCTCATCATGTCTGAAACGACAAGGCCACATAGGGCGTATCGAGGATTCAATATGTGCACCTCTTACAAAACTCATCTTCTGCGTCTCAGGCCAGGCCAGTCGGCTTCGTCCCCAAATGTCTTAACTTCATCTGGATCTGGGTCAGTAATTAGACAGCAGCATCGGCCGTGAGCTCGTAGACAGACAGGGCTATGTCCCCTGCATCTCTCGAACCGGTAGTACTCACATACTTCTCGTCTTGGCAGGGCCACTGGAAATTGAAGGCAGCATCATTTCCGAGTCACCCCGATTATTATTGGAGCGCATTGAAAAGTCGATCTTCCACCGAAACATTACCTCGAAGACATCAGTAACTTGGTCAAGTAAATGTTGCATTATCGCCAAGGCCTACATAATGCAGATCGTGAATTGCTTCGATGGAGTTCTTGGAAGAAGCGTGTTCCGTAAGGGGTAAGCATAGTGCTGAGGTCGATTCAAAATGCCCACTAGTATCTGCAACACCTGAGACCAAACACAAAAATAGACGATGAATTCCTTTCTGGTCGGTGTTCTCCGCATTTTACCAGTGTTCACCGTCTGAATTATGTTAGCTCCTCGCTTCCAACCCAGGTCCTCCCATCCAGCGTACGTATGCATTGCAATAGGCTGCCATTCACGAGTCGTAGTTCTATTCCCGCCGAGAAAGGCTTCGTAAGTGGATGAAAATCCCTTTGGCATGTGAGGTACCCGCGTCGTAGAACTCTTCAAAATACGGTTTATGCATCGCAGCATGGCTTGTATAGGCTGAGGTGGAACATCAGCCGAGCTAGTTTGTCAGTGCAGGGAGGACAGCGTGCCAAGGGACGCCATACATTTGCCTTAAAAGGCTAGCATTCATAGCTAGAGCCAAGAAATTAAACCAAGCAGCAATGGCGATCGGGAATATTCGAACACAGGAGCTTGCAAAACCCCATCTATGATGAAATGATCGCATGTTTATGGACATGTTGGGGAAGTGGGAGAGGAAGAAGAGGAATAGAAAGAACGCATTGGGCTGAGGCCACGTGCTTGAGGTCACGGGCTGCCAAATCATCCTTCCCCTTTCCATCATTTGTCTATTACGTACTCTTCCTGTCTATTGTTCTCATACTATGCTACACCACGGTAGTCTGTTGGTTCCTGTGACATGCAACATTTGTCCCTGCGTTGCTCTTTATGATCTATCCAGACAGTTGATGCGTTCAATCAGTTGTTGAGAATTTATTCGTTGTAGGACTACGTGTAAGAGAATATATTGAGGCTGTAGGCTCAATCGTATACTGATTACTAGTTTTCACATTCAATTTTCAAAAGGGTTTGAAATGAAGCTAAGACTAGAAGCTTTCGATGGTCTTTTCTGTTAAGATTTGACACTTCCGACTGCAGACACATGAGACAACACATGGTCGTTTGAAGCAAAACAAGATTTTCATGATCCCATCGTTTACTCACTGTGATGGGCGTAATCACAGAACCTTCACAGGCTCCCCAGGTTTGAGCCAGCATACCTGGTCACTGATTCCTTCCTCCTGGAAAGCCTGACGCAGCTCTTGTCCAAACTGTGTGAAATGATGCCATGACTCATAATGCATAGGTACAAGGTAGTCGGCCTTGATTTCGCGGAAGAGTTGAGCGGCCTGCTTGCCATCCATAGTGATCTGATAAGGGGGGCTGCTGGGGTCTGTTATGTCCGTAGGCGCATGAGCATTACCGAGGTTGACGATCGCAGCACAAATATGGAAGCGCTCTGCCATCTGCTTCAATTCCTCCACGTAAACAGTATCGCCCGAGAAGTAGATTGCGTTAGGGAGACCATCGCGACCATGACCAAAGTCCTCCCCGGTCAAGATAAAGCCGGTACACTCGTTACCAACGACGTGTTTGGTTGGCGTGCCAATAACCTGGAACTTCTTTCCGGCAATGACAACTTCCATTT